TCAAGTTGTCTGGTTGCTGTTCATTGTTGTAGTTGTAGGATAGGCTGTAGAGTAGATAGGGCACCTGGCGCCATTCACAAGAGAGAGCTACATTTGGGTTATGCTGTTGGTGTTGCCCTGTTGGGCATGGACATTGACTCACGGTTCTTCTGTATCATTCTCAATGGGATGGTTACTCGGTTCCATGTGCTATCTGCTTTGGCTTTGAATACTTGGACTTCAGTGTGATTTTGCATTCTGGATTTTTGTGCTTCGTCCATACTCATGTTCCTTGCAGATACCTAATCTTAATACAATTCAAATTCGTTCATTATCATTATTGCAAATATTGTTTTATTGATTAAGATTTATTATTTTGATATTTATCATTAATTAATTTTATTGATTAAATAATTCGTTTTTTTTTTTGTTATTACGAATTTTGGAGTTGTTTTTGCGGGAAAATTTATCTTTTTTCTGTTGATTAGGTGTCTTAAGTCCATCAGCGGGACAGGGGACTGTGTGCGAATTGTTTGATTGTTCTACCCCTGTTCCCACTCTCTCTACCCTCCCCGTAATCTGTGACCACTGGGACTTCTCAAGTACCACATCAGTTCAGACTGATGTCGATGGAACAGGACACCGGGGCACTGCCACGACGCAGTGCCAGGCTTGCAGTTCGTAGCCGATCTGTGTTACCTCCACGAACCAAGGCTCAGCAACAGTGACTCAGCAAGCGGAAGACTCCAGCGGCATCGAGTACAGCTATGACGGTACCGGTTACCACCGAGGTTCTTCCCGCATGCCCGGTCCGAGGGGCCGAGAGGCAGTACGTCAGCGGCTGGCCAATGAGGCGGCAGCCCAAGCTCAGCAGACTGCTGAGGCTGACGCAGTGGCACGAGACCAACGGAATGCCGCCAGCACGGAGTCCCTGATTCATAGTGAGAATCAGTGGACAATGTTCCTCCAAGGCATGATCTTTGTGCCTTCCGATGCGCGGCAGATCCGACACCGGCGGAGGCAGAGAGGACTCACCTGGCTAACTTGATGCTGGGCATGATGAGAGGAATCATGTGGAATAACACAATGCTGCAGGCACATCTGCGCACGGAACGACAACAAAGACAAAAGTACCAACAAGACATTGCCGTTTTAACAGTTGCCATCCGCGTCGAAGCAACACAGCAGCAGCAACAGCATCAGCTGTTGAACTCCGCTCTCGCACACATCAACAGCATTGAGGCTAATGCCTCAGCAGCGCCCGGCTGCACGACAGACGCGACGAAGCAGCTCAATGAGCGCATCGATCCCGTCGTCACCATCATTGGCGAACTAGGTGATTTCACTAGTCCGGCCACGATCAGCAGCACGGTGGCCACCATCAAGGCGGAAATCACCAAGCTGCAGACAAGACCGGACACCGCCACAAGAAACTACAAGATGCCGCACTTCACCATCAGCAAGTTCGATGACTACAACAAGACGGACGCCTTGACATGGTGGCAAAGTTTCCTCACGGAAGCATCATGCCGCACTGTCCCGCCCGGATGACATGATGAAGGCACTTTACTTACAACTGATTGGAGGAGCGCAGGCATGGATGAACCATCTGGCGGCTACCAAGAAATGCACCATCGCCGAACTCCACACGCACATCACGTGGAAAGAGTTCGAGCAGCTATGGTTCACCCGGTTCATGGTCCGCAACGTCGTGAAGGCGGCCATGAACGAGGTGTACACCTGCTCACAAGGGAATATGCCAACTCGAGACTGGACAACCAAGTGGCAGAAGATAGTGACCACGCGAGGCTTCGATTTGAGTTTTACCAACCAACGATCCGAGTTCTTCTCGCGATCGTGCGCAGGACTGCGAACCGCACTCGGCAACGAGTACGATTACTCCTCATTCCAGGCCATCCTGGATCGTGCGAACTTGGTCTTCCAAACGGATGACAAGGCCGCAAACAAACGACAGTCCCAGCTGCATTATGTGGCTAAGCAGGGCTATCAACGACCGGCACATAACAATGTCGTGATTTCGGAAGAAACAGTCGATCTCCACGCTGCAGCAGCATCCTCGAGTGATGGAGGAATTGTAGCAGCGCTCCCGCCGAAGCGTCCCAAGAGAGTTCGGAAGAACAAGGCGACACAAGAGACGGCATCGACGGGAACTGGGCAGCAGCCATGGACGACATACAAGATAACCAAGGAAATCTATGACCTTCGTCAAAAGTACGGATACTGCCTTTGGTGCAATGGGGTCACTCACTTGACCGCACAATGCCCCGAAAAGGGCAAGGCACGCGTACCACGTCCAGCAAACTCGGGAAACTGAGTTACGCAAGGGGAGGGGCGACGTCTCTCCTCACTCCGCCGGACTCGGTTGCCTTGCTAGCAAACGATGTCACTACCGGGGAGCATGCGTTAGTCACTGATTCTCGTGCTACGTACGAGGATTATGCCGCCCAGCTGGTACCACCACTAGACCAGCCGAGCCACGTGCACTTAGATTGCGTATGCGCAGCCTGTACACCGTCGGCAAGTGATCCGGTCAGTTCGCCACTAATTTCCGAGGACTCGACGGCGTGGTCAAGACTTGAGGAGCTTGACCCGCTCACGAGAGAGGACTTCGCTTGGATGCCTCTACCCTCGACCGGAACCTTGCCAAGGTCGTATTGCAACGCCTTGATGGCAAATCTACGCTCCTATTTGCACACTACAGTACCAGCTCCGTTGACGGACGACGGGGTAGCGGTTGTCGATCTCCGCTCCTATCTTGCGAAGTTTGACCGCGAGTACGCCACCAAAAGGTACGCCGAAACCGACGCGCCTTTGCTCTATATCCACATTCAAATCGGAAAGGCAACCTGTAGTGCCTTGATTGATTGCGGAGCGTCTCGCAATTTTAAGAGCCAAGCCTTTATGGCCCGCGCAGGCCTTGGCCCGCGCGTTCGAAGGAAGACGCAACGCACGCAAGTTACACTCGCGGACGGCCGCACGCAAAAGTCGATTGACCGATGCTTCGACGACGTTCCGGTATACTTTGCGCTACTTGCGTGCGAGCCGGTGTCTTTTGACATCCTCAACACCAAGTTCGACATGATTCTAGGCATGTCTTGGTTGCGTAGCGCCGATCATCCGGTGAACTTCCACGACCGGACCGTTCACATCCGTGATCAGAACGGAGTGTTAGTCCCATGTACGGTCGCGACCCCTCACACTTCGATTGCTTGTCACGTGGTTTCCGTTGCGAGAATTCGCGACGCCATTGCTCGGAATGACGTCGAGGAGATGGGCCTTGTATTCTTGCATGCTCTCCCCTCGCCGGACGGACCAGCCGCGTCCCCGCCGGACCCACACATTTCCCACCTCTTGGACAAGTATAGAGACGTCTTCGAGGCTCCCACCGGAACGGTTCCGGATCGGCCCATACGTCACGGGATCACTCTCGAGGCTGGTGCCATCCCTCCGCGTGGATGTATCTACCGCATGAGCGAAGAGGAACTCGAGGTGCTTCGCGCACGACTCGATGACCTTCTCGACAAGGGCTGGATTTGGCCTAGTTGCTCGCCTTACGGTGCCCCTGTGCTCTTCGTCCGGAAGAAGAACAAAGATCTACGGTTATGCATCGACTCTCGCAAACTTAACGCACAAACCGTAAAGAACGCCGGCCTTCTCCCTCGAATTGATGATCTCCTTGAGCGGTTAGGCGGCGCGACCTACTTCTCGAAGTTGGACTTGAAGTCGGGTTACCACCAGATTGAAATCCAGCCTCAAGATCGGTACAAGACCGCGTTCAAGACGTGGTACGGGCATTTCGAGTGGGTTGTCATGCCATTTGGCCTCACCAATGCCCCCGCAACGTTCCAAGCAGCTATGACGACTGAGTTTCGCGACTTGCTCGATCGCAGCGTCCTCATCTACCTGGATGACATCTTGGTTTATAGTAGGACGTTGGACGAGCACATCGTACACCTTCACGTTGTTTTGGATCGTTTGTGACTAGCCAAGTACAAAGCGAACCTCGACAAGTGCGAGTTCGCCAAGCAGGAGCTTGAGTACTTGGGTCATTTTGTCACGCCGAAAGGCATTCGTCCCTTAGCGGACAAGATCCAAGCCATCGTGGATTGGCCGGAACCCTGTTGTACGACGGACGTACGCTCATTCATGGGTTTGGCTGGATATTATCAGCGATTCGTCGAGTCATACTCGAAGGTGGCCGCCCCTTTGTCGAGACTTCAGTCCCCGAAGGTACCCTTCGAGTTCGACGACGCAGCCCGTGGCGCGTTCACTACGTTGAAGGCAGTGATGCAAGCCGCACCTGCCCTCCGTATATAYGACCCCACCCTWCCCACCCAAGTGACTACGGACGCTTCGGGATACGRTATTGGTGCGGTGTTGGAACAGTGTCACGAGGACGGTTGGCATCCGGTYGAGTATTTCTCCCAAAAGGTGCCTCTCGTAAACACTCTCGACGACGCTAGGAAGAAAGAGCTACTCGCGTTCGTCACCGTTCTCAAACGGTGGTGCCACTTTCTTCTCGGCCGTCGGCGTTTTCAATGGAATACGGACAACAATCCGTTGACCTTTTACAAAACGCAGGATACGATAACTAGCACGATCGGTCGATGGATGTATTACATCGACCAACTCGACTTTGACCCGTGCCACATTCCCGGTCCCGCCAATCGAGCTGCGGACGCCCTCTCACGACGGCCCGATTTTTGTGCCATTGTGACCACGGCATTCGACCTCGATGACGATCTGCAGCCGCATTTCGTCAAAGGCTACAAGTCCGATCCGAATTACTCTACGCTTTACGCGGAGCTTTCATCGGATCACCCGCCGGCTAGCCACTATCGGATTTTCGACGGGTTCCTTCTCCTTCACACGAGAGGAAAGGACTTGTTAGTTGTGCCCCAAGATCGYATCTTACGGACTCGTCTTCTCGGCGAATTCCACGACGCACGACTTTCGACACACCTTGGCGTGAACCGCACATTAGCACACCTCCGCCAGCGTTTTCACTGGCCCGACGTCCTTCATGACGTCACGAGGTACATTGAGTCATGTGCAGTTTGCCACCGTAACAAGGGTCGATTTCGAGTCCCCTTCGGCGAACTGAAACCGTTGTCGATTCCTTGAGCACCGCGCCTCTCCATTGCTATGGACGTGACAGTCCCGTTTAATACCTATTTGCATGTTAGTAGGTTGGTCTAGTATTCAAAATTACAAGAAAGAGTACATGATAGCTTTTTTAGTTCTGGAAGCTTTCATGATTGCTGTGTTTTGCATGCTAGATCTTCTACTTTTTTATGTGTTCTTTGAAAGTGTTTTAATCCCTATGTTTATTATTATTGGGGTATGGGGTTCTAGACRGAGAAAAATACGAGCAGCATATCAGTTTTTCTTATATACTTTACTTGGATCCGTTTTCATGCTTTTAGCTATTTTATTGATTTTGTTTCAAACGGGAACCACTGATTTACAAATCTTATTAACAACAGAATTTACCGAACGACGTCAAATATTGCTATGGATTGACGCCATGGCCATGACGTTATTCTCACGGTCGTTGACCGTTTGAGCAAGTATGCTCGCTTCCTTCCTTGCAAGTATCATGCTGCAGCGCTTGAGCTCGCACGACTCTTGCACACCGGTTGGATTACCGACCAGGGTGTTCCGGAAGACATAGTGAGCGACCGAGATACTCGCTTCATGTCGGCCTTTTGGACTTCCCTCATGGCTGAGTCCGGTACGACAATGAAGCCGAGCTCGGCT